CCTTATTCAGGAGAAACGCAGTCTCTCAGGTACTTGGTCCAGGCGTTGTGTTCTGTATGCTGCTCATGGGCCAGGCTACGCTAGACTGCGCGAACATGCGTACAGGTAAACCCCGTACCCCGTACCCCCGCCATTGTCCGCACTCCCAGGCGCACTGCTGAGCCATTTCTACTATCGGGTGCCGCCCCCATCTGTACGCATGCGCAGAAGAGCTTCCCCTGAACTAAGCATGCGCAAGAAGGTATATATATGGCTAGAGCTCCCTTGACCACAGGACAGTAAGGCCACAAGCGTAGGGAGGGAATGCGTGTAGAACAATATATCACAGCGAGCCCAAGAGAGTGTGTTGACATGTGTTGTGAATGTGGCATGACTCGTCTTCCAACCTACGATCATTCTGCACATGTGTGAAAGAGGAGAGAGGGAGTAAATAAAGATGAGGAAGAAAGGAGAGGGTGATGTCAGTATTTGCTACTGTAGGCTTCAGTGTTTTCTGCACAGAGGCTACATTGTTATGTACATATGTCCAGTCAATGTTTCAAGCGCTAAAACAACTCCCCTCCTCTCTTTCTTTCTCAGTCACTGGAGCAGGGCAGTGATGGAATCACTCGCAGAACACTGTTTGTAACCTCCTGATGGTGTGATGCACAGAGGTAAGGGTCTCTCTCCTCTATCCCTTCTCTTCCTCTCTTTTCTCTCACTTACCACAAACATACTGGTTTGGTCCTCCCCATAAGGTATTTACACATTATGCACATGATGTAAGGCCATATACATGTGCATGTGTGAATACGTGGTACAAAGAGTATGTAAGTGTAGAGTGTGCTGCCATGTTCTTAGAACAAACAATGCTCAATCAACTGGTACAGTGGGATATATGTAGGCACAAAATAATATATACACATTATAGAGTGTTGGAAACCACTTTATAAGTACAAAGGAACACAACATTGACAAACAAGCTCACACAAAGTATGTTCACACACCACACTGTCACATGATGTAAGGCAAGCAACGCAGCTACAGTTAGGCAAACTAGAAAAAAAGAGCTGCTCTGGGTCTGGCGTAGCCTGCCTTTTTCAGACTAGCTGTGCCAGACTAGTCTCTCAGGTCTACTTGGTCCAAGCGTTGGATTCTGTACGGGGTTATGTATGCTGCTCATGAGCCAGGCTTCGCACTAGCGGTGGGGGAAAAAAAAAAGCGTGGGGTCGGCCGGGTGCGAGGAGAAAGTTCTGTCTGGGAGGCGCGGGTGGCCGGGACTCGGGGAGTTGGCGCCGGCTTACCGCAAGGCCTTGAGCGGCCAGATTGAGTGCGGCTTCGGGGGGAGACCGTGCGTTCGTTGCTGTTGGGGGAGGTTGATGGGTTTCCCCTAGGGTTCCCGCTGGTCATAAAATAAGCGATCCCCCCCCCCTGGGGGGTTTGGCCGGGGTTGCTTGGGGGGGGGGGGAGTTCAGTGGGGGGGGGGTCGGTCGGGGGAGCCTGTGTTGTTGTTGGAGTTGCGTTGCTTGTTTGTTTGTTTTGTGGTCAACCCCGTAACATCGCTATTTCTCTTGCAAGATAACACACTCGCAGGAACGCTGCTGAGCTACTATCGGTCCGCCCACATCTGTACGCAGCGCACAACAGCTCCCCTGAACTGCATGCGCACGAGGAGAAGAGGGAGTATGAGAGAGAGTAGAACTAGGGAGGTTGCTCACAAGGTAAAGACAAGAAACAGGCCCATTTGATTGAGTGCATAGTCCATTATCTTTCTCTACTGAATATACTTAAAGGAGGGAAGAAATGCCGGTGTTTATCTACATGGTGTTGAGCCCCAATATTGTGTATGGCGTGTTGTAAATGTGGCGTGGACTCGTCTTCCAACTTAATGACCATTCATTTGCACGTGTGAAGAGAGAGAGGGAATCGAGGGAGAGGGTAATGTTTCAGTTTGGCTTCAGTCTTTTCTACATGTGCAGTCAGAGTGTTTCATGAGCTATATCATCCCCCTCCTCTCTCTTTTAAGTTGCTGGAGCAGGACAGTGATGGAATCACTTACGGGATACGGGCTTGAAACCCCCTGATCATGTGGTTGCTATCGCCTACCTAGTACGATTCTAGTTTAGAAATAAGAGGTCTCTGTCCTCTATCCCTTTTCTTCTTGATCTGTCCACACTGACTGTGTGGTGTCTAGGTATTGTTGTAGGAGATCTCATCATTATTATTGTATGCAAATAATATAAGCAAACAGGCACAGCTATACTCAGGTGACTTCAATATGAAAAAGAGCTTCCTGGTGTGATTCCAACCTACAACACTCTGCAGTGTCCAGGCAGAGACGGCCTTTACCCTTGTGAAAGTCTGAATTGAAAGGCATACTGTATTAGATTTGTGTTGTGAGTACTCTCTGGACAAGGGGAGGGGTGAGGAGTGGGAGGTGAGAGAGCATTGCTAACCGACGGGAGGGTGACGTTGTAGGAGAGCTTGCTTTAGCCAAGGGGAGGGAGTTGGAGGGACGGAGCATTGCTAGCCGAAGGGAGGGGAGTGGTGAGAGTCATTGCTAGCCGAAGGAGAGGGGAGTGAGCAGACATTGCTAGCCGAAGAGGAGGGAGGGTACGCGGAGGGGAGGGTAGTGGGTTGGAGCATTTGCTAGCCAAGGTGAGGGGAGTGTGTGGGAGAGCATTGCTAGCCTGAAGGAGAGTGGGTGGAGCAGTGCTGAGCCAAGGGGAGGGGTGGGTGGGGAGAGCATTGCGAGCCGGGAGGACGGAGTGTAGGTTGGGCATTGCTGGTGAAGGGAGTGGATGGAGAATCCTTGCTCGGCCTATCCTGCGTACTCTCTCCTTCCTCATTTCCCCCCTTCTTCTCTTCTAAACGATGCTGAAAGAGGCAAAACTGTTAGGTTTTGCAGGATTGCTACAGGTGAGCTACAAAATATCATAATACATATACATTTCCACTGCTATCTCCTAAGGATACCAGGTGTAGTCGGTATTCCGAATGAGTAGCTGTGCTTTAGTTTCCTCACATGCCATATAAATGTACAAAACCAATCACTGGGTGTAATCAGGGTATTCCGAATGAGTAAAGTCCTTTATTTTCCCCTCACATTCCATATAAAAGTACAAAAGCAATCACCAGGTGTAATCAAGGTATTCCGAATGAGTAGCTGTCCTTTATTTTCCCTCACATGCTGTATAAAAGTACAAAAGCAATCACCAGGTGTATTCAAGGTGTTCCGAATGAGTAGCTGTGCTTTATTTTCCCTCAGGATAGCCATGCGTATTGTTGTATTGCTGTCCTCCTCCTGGCTGTAAGATCACCAGAGTAAGAGTACCAGGCTCTTTTCCTCTACCACAAAGAGCCTGCGGATGTGGCTATCGTATACACATGTCTTTCTACACACTCTGTGCAGGTCACCATCGCAGTCAGTGGTGTGGATGTGTACGTACACACATGGCAGACATTACGACAAGAATGACATTATTTTCTACTGTAATTGGTGAGTGACACATATAGATCAGAGACACACTATGAGTGTGACATCACGATGGCTGCCAAGTTTTTGTTTGATACACGTCCATACTATTAGTATGCGCATACAGTGTGTACCAGGCTCTTTTCCCATCCCACAAAGAGCCTACGGACATGGCTATCGTATGCACATGTCTTTCTACACACTCTGGTCACCATCAGAGTCAGTGGTGTAGATGTGTACTTACACACATGGCTCGTTGCACCTTCGTTTCTCCCAATAACTGGCGTACGTGCGAACGCGGACGCACAGTTACTGCCCTCCGTTACGCCCCTTTTTCTGGGCTACGCATGTGCACTACAGCGCTTCTCATGAATTTCAGTATTTCAGGAAGGGTCATGAGGTCACTGGTCACGTCGTTGCAGCCCGCCATTTTTGCCCCTGGAAATTTAGTACCACGCCTCTTTCGCGATTGTGCATGCGCAGTTAGCGTTTGCGTCACGTGCCTAGACTTTTCGACGATGACATAATTCAATAAGAAAGGGTGTGGTTATTACCATCACAAGCGCATTGCGGGGAATTGCCTGCGTATGTGCTTATGCGCAGTGCGAAAAGCTCACGTGATGGCGCAAAATCTTTGTATATACGTACACGTGCGTGCGTATGTACTTACACTGCTTGATTGATCGATCGACGTGTGGAGCTTTTGGAGCTCTGTATGGATGTTCTTCGTTCCTTGCTGGTGAGTTTAGAGACAGATGTACAGTGTACGGTAGTTACCACACCCTGCCCGTTTGCGTGTGGGGCGGAGTTTTTTTAAAACGGCGTGACAGCCGCGAGAGGCACTGGAATAGTGTCCGAATAGTGTATATAGAGTGGGCATTGATCCTTTGTGTCACTGGGTACCGCCTTATTCAGGAGAAATGCAGTCTCTCAGGTACTTGGTCCAGGCGTTGTGTTCTGTATGCTGCTCATGGGCCAGGCTACGCTAGACTGCGCGAACATGCGTACAGGTAAACCCCGTACCCCGTACCCCCGCCATTGTCCGCACTCCCAGGCGCACTGCTGAGCCATTTCTACTATCGGGTGCCGCCCCCATCTGTACGCATGCGCAGAAGAGCTTCCCCTGAACTAAGCATGCGCAAGAAGGTATATATATGGCTAGAGCTCCCTTGACCACAGGACAGTAAGGCCACAAGCGTAGGGAGGGAATGCGTGTAGAACAATATATCACAGCGAGCCCAAGAGAGTGTGTTGACATGTGTTGTGAATGTGGCATGACTCGTCTTCCAACCTACGATCATTCTGCACATGTGTGGAAGAGGAGAGAGGGAGTAAATAAAGATGAGTAAGAAAGGAGAGGGTGATGTCAGTATTTGCTACTGTAGGCTTCAGTGTTTTCTACGACAGAGGCTACATTTTTATGTACATAATGTCCAGTCAATATGTCAAGAGCTACAAAACCCAACTTCCCCCCTCTCTTTCTTTCTCAGTCACTGGAGCAGGGCAGTGATGGAAATCACTCCAAGAACACTGTCTGTAACCTCCTGATGGTGTGATGCTAGAAAATCATAGAGGTAAGGGTCTCTCTCCTCTATCCCTTCTCTTCCTCTCTTTTCTCTCACTTTCTTCCACGCACATACTGGTTTCGTCCTCCCAATAAGATATTGTTGTATATAGATAGATTATGCCCATGATGTAAGGAATTTCTATATCTGCTCTGGGTCTAGTCTCTCAGGTCTACTTGGTCCAAGCGTTGGGTTCTGTACGGGGTTATGTATGCTGCTCATGAGCCAGGCTACGCTAGACTGTGGGAACACACGTAGGTAAACCCCGTAACATCGCTATTCTCTTGCAGAACACACTCCAGGCACGCTGCTGAGCCTACTATCGGGTCCCGCCCACATCTGTACGCATGCACACAACAGCTTCCCCTGAACTAAGCATGCGCACGAGGAAGAGGGAGATGAGCTAGAGCTCCCTTGACCACGGGACAGCAAGCCACATGCCTAAGGAGGGAATGCCGGTAGTTTATTCACAGTGAGCCCAATATGTGTATGGCTGGTGTTGTAAATGTGGCGTGACTCGTCTTCCAACTAATGACCATTCTTTGCATGTGTGGAAGAGAGAGAGGGAATAGAGGGAGATGGGTAATGTCAGTTTGGTATTTCAGTCAGTGTTTCATGAGCTATATATAACATCTCCCCTCCTCTCTCTTTATAAGTTGCTGGAGCAGGATAGTGATGGAATCACTTACGGCTTGAAACCCCCTGATCATGTGGTGCTAGACGATCATAGAAATAAGGATCTATCTCTGTCCTCTACCCCTTCTCTTTCTATCTCTTCCACACTGACTGAGTTGGTGAGTTATTGTTGTAGGTACATATTGTAATGTATGGCAAGCAACACAGCTATATATACTCTTTCTTTCCAGCTGCCCTGGGTGTGATTCAAAACTACAACACTCTGCAGTGCATGCTGTGAGCTTTACCCTTTGAGCATCACAGTGAAAGTCATTACTATTAGTATTTGTGATACTCTCTTGCCAAGGGGAGGGGAGTGGGAGGGAGAGGGTTGAATCATTGCTAGCCGAGGGGAGGGGAGTGGGAGGAAAAGCATTGCTAGCCGAGTGGAGAGAAGTGGGTTGGAGCATTGCTAGCCAAGGGGAGGGGAGTGGGAGGGAGAGCATTGCTAGCCGGGAGGAAGGGAGTGGGTTGGAGCATTGCTAGCCTATCTTTGCGTACTCTCTCCTTCCTCATTTCCCCCCTTCTTTCTCTTCTACCGATGGCAAAACTTGTTGGGTTTTGCAGGACCTATTGCTCGTATCTCGTGTATCACAAGCTGCTCAACATTGCTACTGGTGAGCTACAAAGTATCATCCTAAGGATGTGTCCATTTCTGTCTGGTAGTGTTATATTTTTGTTCTCTTGTGCATGTTTTTTTTTGTAAGCCAGTGTTGTTTGATATCTACAGCTTCAAAGAAGACACCTCTGCACCAGTACATATAAATTCTATATATACTCACTGATGTCATAGCATATAGATGCAGTTTTGTAAGTCCATAGTCTGTGATGTCCATATTCTGCAGGTTCCTTTTTCCCCATTTCTGACTGATGATATACGGAGGCTTGTGTATTTCTAACTACTCGACATTGAACGGCTAAGCTAAAACGAGGTATGCTACAACATACGTACCAATGTGTACCATACACTACTAAAGTCTATTCGTGTTCACCTTGCCGGTAGGAAATCTGCCGTAATGTAGCTAAACAGGACCGATTTCGAAATTTCAAAGCGCAGCGTGGTTGTAGTTGACCGTAGGTTCTATTTATCTGCTTTGCAAGCGCGTGCCATATCTTGCATTTTGTGTATGCAGGGGTAGTTTCCCTCATCAGTACAGATAATATTGTATGCACAGTTTTGGTCTATCGCGTCGGTATTTGCTATAACCCCCTTGTACGGGTGGTATAACTACTACTTGTAGCACCGCCCAGCCAGCCTATAAGGGTCAAAGGTCGACTATAGTATCCGGTCAAAATTGTCAGGGTGGCTACAGATCTAGGTGCATGATTCAAATAGCAGCCAACGTAGGAAAAGGCCCGGGTGCGATCTAGACAGATCCACACTTCCTTCGTCTGACAGTCCAGAATATAACAGCCTTCCCCATTCTGGGTGTATTCAGCTTCATGAGCCACTCGCTCCTTGCAAGGATAGGTGAGTGCTGATGGGTATTCACACACATACGCTCCCTTCGGCACCTCCTCCCTCATGACAACTCCTCTCCCCTTGGCTCCCAACTCCACCACATCCAATTCATAGTTGGGAGGTTCGCCCAGTATCCCCGCAAATTACTCTCTCCGGTGTGTGTTTGACCCTTCATGGAGTAATTAATGATGATAAATTCCGGCACAACCACCTTTTTACTCTTCTTATTTAAAATAGAGAGTGTTTCTACCGACACTCTGAAACTATATAGCCTCGTTCCCAGGCTCTCTCTCCACTCTCTGCGAACCATGTATGACCTTTAATCATGCCGAGGCGAACAGAGTAATGAGAGCATTCATGACGCCGAAACACTACCCCAGCTAGCTAGATTGCAGTGAGAGTTAGAACGGAAGTAACTAGAATGGAAGTCACTACAACGAAAGTTTTGAAGTTTTCTACGATGGTATTTTTGCCCCCTGTACATTCTACTGCCACTCTACTGCTCATTCTATTGTACTACACATTCTACTGTCCATTCTACAGTCATTTCTAGTGCTCATTTTACTGCCATTCTACTACACTTCTAGTATATACACATTCTGCTCATTCTAATGCCATTCTACTGCCATTCTAACAGTAGAAGGGCAGAAGAATGGCAGTAGAATGGACAGTAGAATGTGTACTAGGGATGGACTGTAGAATGAGCAGAAATGTAACTGCTCAACTCACTAATCAAGAAAAGCACTAAAGTGCAAACCCTCGGGGCCAAACGCGCGACTTGTAGCATTGCTGTATTCTGGGCCGTGCGTCATCGACTGAGCCAGTAACACGAGTTTCACCTAGTTGCATTAGACGGTTAGTGCAATTGCACAGGTGTTTCAGAGGCTCTCTATCCGTACTTCTGTGTTTCAATGCTCTCGCCAGACGTTTTATAGATGGGAAGGTATGGCCGCATCCATAAACTTCTCGCCACCTCAACTATTATGCTACATTTCGAACATACCTTGCTCAGCATGTTTATCGTTTATCCATAAGGAACAGAGATCAAAACTGACAGAAGCCTGTGGATCGTATAATATACAACCAACGTGGCGTAGCGCATGCGCCGGCGAATAATTGACATGATGCGTGCGCGCTATATAGCCTGCCGGATCGCTTGTTTTCAGGCCATATCTCTGGAACGCAGTCGTTTCAGGAAAATCGCCACATAATATCCATCTTCTCGTTGTTCACAACCCGTTGGTGCCACTCATTGGCCGCCTCGTAGCCTGTAGTGCGAGAACTCGTGCGGACAGACAGACAGACAGACAGAACGACTACAGTAACCCTCGCTGCGCATGCGCGCCGAGGGTTAATTACAGCAAAAGATGCTTACAAAATGTGAATCAAAAAACAACTTCCATCAGTCATGCCTTCGTCACCAGTGATATAAATGCGGCAAGATTGTCACTACGACTGTCCTTCAGCTCAAACGACTCAAACACTTCGTACGAATTTGACGCAGCTATTCCACATGGAAAGTATTTCTGGTATTTTGGAGTGTGTAGAAACACACCAACAAACTTGATTCGACTCCCATCGGACTTATTTACATATCCGTGAATCATATTAGACAGGGTCTCTCCCTTGAAAAAGGTTTCGTTTTCAGGTATATCTTCTTTTTTTAGGAGTTGGTTGGGGGAAGGGGTTATCACTAGAACTACAAAGTCAGAATTCTCTCTGTTTTCTATCAACCATTTTGGTTTAGAGAGTACGTGTTGAGCAGATATTGGCGCTGGGAATGGGTGGGCGGGGTCAGTGTCATGTTCGGGCGGAGCTTAAGGGGCGGGGTGGGTGGTTGAATTGGCGGGAGGAGTAAGATAAGGGGTAATGTTGGCTGGCGGCAGAGGGTGACGATTGCCGGGTGGGGTGTTCTGGGGAAGATGGGCGGAAGGTTGACTGAGTGAAGGAACACTATTGGTAGCAGGTTGAGAAGTGACCGATGGCTGGAGCATAGATCGATGTCCACCTGGTGAAGGAGTTTGAGATATCTGCGTCTGGAAGTGGCGAACACGACTGTTCCACTGAGGGGAATGTCCGCTCTGGTAGGGATCACTGGAGAGCTGTTGTGAGTGCTCCTCACTCCCTCTCCCTGTGCTGACATCCCCTGGAGCTGTAGGAACTGCAGCCTGATGTGGAGGGTGCTGGTAAGCTGATGAAGGAAGGTTTGGAACAGGAGAGTGGTAAGAGTTGGTAGGCCTAGGATAAGTCTCGTCGATGTAGTCAAGAGGTCTGCTGCTGTAGAGTGTGTGCGGTTGGCCGGTCTCCGGAACTGCCTCAGTTCCGGGTACCTGTGACCAGCCAGTAGGGAGAGGGGAGTAGCCAGTGTTTGGTGGACGGTGAGGAGGGTACGTGGTCGGGTACGGTGGCTGTTGAGAAACGCCGGAGAATGTAGGCGCTGACGGTTGGCAGTCGTGGGTCAGAAACTTTCCTTCATACTCTCGCAAGACGTTCAGAGGTTCCACTAGGTCCATGAGGTTGAAAATGTCGTGGAGAAGCTCGATGTCGTTGGGCAAAATACGACCAGACTCTTTTAGAAATTGGAATAGTTTGTGTCCTGTGTCGCTCTTTTCTTTCTGGGATTCCTGCAATGGACTGATGGCTTTGATGATCTCGAAATCAGATTGGCATAATTTTAGACCCATTTCATGGAGCGAACTGTTGAAGGCCCACATTTTATCTTTGCCTACTGGTCTAGCACCGTTGCATTGGACCGGGGCAGACCGCTCGTTGTCAATGTACCTGTGAGTATCTCTAAAGGTGCGTACGGTTTTCGGAGAGTTGCTCGGCGTCGCTCACGTTCTCCAGTAGTTTCAGACATGTCTCGAGGAACTCTGAGTGGCTCCTATGCCTTCTCCTGAGCTTCACGAGCATGTCCACAGGGCTCGACACGAGCCCCCTGTCCCACGGGTCGAAGTCTGACTTTCCCAGCATCTCGTCCATCTGAGTTTTCGTTATACCACTGGCTAGTGTAGCCACTAACCTCTTTACAGGACCCAGCTTCATGGCGATCGGCTTCTTGCAGTTTGAAGGGAAAGCCCCCGGGATTTTGTTGTCTCTCGCCTCAATAATAATGTTCTCCGAGTACCTGAATGCCCACGCGCAAAATCATTCACATATACATACAGAGTATTTGTACATACAGAGTAGCTTAGGAATCCAGCAATTATAATAGTACTCGGCAATTATGTATGTTGTGTATGTACCCAGTCAGTTATATAGCTACTTGTTGCAGGAATTTGTAAGCTTGATTAGCTCCCTCGGCTATTTCTCTCAGCCTTTTTGCACCGTCACGAGCACAGTCAGCAATAGCAAACTTGTCGGTTTCCTCCAAGCACTCTCCAATCGTCTCCATGAAGCTTCGCATGTAATAAACCGTGTTGAAGAAGG